ATTAAGTCCGACGGGGGTTGTACAATTTTCATTTTTAGGGTTAGGCTGATTCCAACAACAAAAACCGCTACAAATGGCTTACTTTAAACCACCTATAAACCTTTTATGGGACTGTATAAATGGGTTATTTCAAAGGAAGCTAATTTAATTGGGAGTTCCAACTTTCAATAATTTATTCTGAAAGATGTTTGAACCGACATACTAATTGTTTCTCTGAGAAGTAACACCATCACTAGTAAAAAGTAGGAAAAGTAGCGTGGCGTCTATCTTGTTTGGCTGTCAATTTTGACAAATTTGAAACATCCATTTTCTCGTATTATTTTAATAATTGTATTTTAAAATGAAAAATTGCCACTGGTATATTTTAGATTATAGAGATGTAAATAATATCATAAATTTAAATTAATGGTAATTTAATTAATTTTAAAGTATTCTTAACTTAGTAACCTGTATTTTAATTTTTGTTAATTTAATAATTTATTAATTAACACACAAACATATAAAAAAAAACCAACACACATAAAACCAGACAACAGTATTTGGCCATTTAGCAACACACTTGTATGCCTCTAGATGCCTTAACATTTTTGAGGCGGTAATCAGATTGATCAGTCTGATTATTCGATTTTATTACTTAGACACCCACTTAAGATGGCCAGATATCGAAAAACAACAGCAAGAATATAAGGTTTATTAAAAAAAAAAAAAAAAAAAAAAAAAAAAAAACAGACAACCCCTTAACTTTATTTTTATTTAATTATGCTATTTTGTATTTTGTGGGGTTTTTTTCAAGTTTTATCTTATCTGGTTATCTATTGCAATTATTATCTAGTTATAATGTAATGTTTTATCTAATATTGTTTTTAAATTAGAAATTTTTGTTTGTTTTTTTGTACTCTTGACATTTGAGCCGTTTGAACCTGAATAAATGAATAAATATCATGATAGTTAACTAAAGTAAGATACACCAGCAGAATTATTTAGGTGTTGAAATAAGGATGATACGTTTAGACAATTCAATCAATAAAATTGCTGGTTTTAACACCATGCCATAATAATACTGTTTTTTATTTTTTATTTTAAATTTTTTCATTTTGTAAATAAAGTATATATCTATCTAGCTATCTAAAATTGCCAAAGGGATCAAGCCACATACCCGAACAATAGATTCAAACACGCTAGTCCTGACCCTCGTAGATTGTTGATGGTGGTTTTGTTTATTCCGCGCCGTTTTTGCATTTTTATTGTAGAGCGGTGTTTTTCCCGTCCCTAGCGAAGAAGTATTGCTACAATGTTTATCGGGTTTCTTATGCTTAGCAAGGTGTACATATCCTCATTTTTTAGAGCGGTAAGAAACAACGGTTTCGTTGAACGAATGTTGATTTTTCCGTTCGAGAAATCGTGCTTTTGGCATGTAACTATTATATTATATACGCATATTTAACTTTAAGGGTGTAACACTGGGGGAGATCGGATTTATTTCATCGGGCGACAACGGCTGTGGACAAGTTGCGGCGGCAACCGGAGGCGGAAAAGAGGATTCGCATGGAGGAGGAAGTCCGCACCGACTCTGCTGGATCTCGCCCAGTTTCCGTCTCCCTTTTGTTACACACACGCCGCATCCCCCACCGCCTGCTAATTAATATTTCCTGGGAGATTACTCCTAGAAAGCGTGAGCTGTTTGTACGGGTTGTTATTAAGGAGGTGAGGAGGTATAAATCCGCAATTAGAACGGCAACTCGTTTCAGACAAAGTCATGGGGACGGGATAAATATTTGGGCTGGGTATCACGGATAACACAAAACCGTCCCAAAGGGCAATTTCTACTTTGGGAATTAGAAGCCCCTCTTTGAATGGTTTGCAACGGCGGCAATTTGGGAAACGGACGTGTATTACAGCCCATAACTCAAGGGGACCACTTACATCTCATATTTGAAAATAGCTTCGTTACGAACAGTATGAAAACAGTTACCTACTACACATTATTCCAGCAATTAACTACAGCAAATTACAAATAACTACCCATTTGTTCATACATGTTATAATCTGTATAAGTAATTTTCTTTATAATGTATACAGGGTGAATTGCTACTCGTGCTACAAACTTCTCCAGTAGATTCTTCACCCTAAAATGAACAAAAAAGTTCATATTGTCCATGGTCCGATTCTCAACCATTTCAGAGTAATTTCGCTTTTTATCGATTTTGAAAGATATCACGTCCTGGCGTCGGAAAATCGTGATATCTTTTAATCTAAACATTTCTCTGAAAATCTAATAGCACCGTTGAAATTCCCGTTAATTTTTCAATAAGAAGATGACGGTGGCAAAATGTTTGGGCTAATTTTTTGTGTTTTATTTCAGCCAGAACTACAAAAAGAGTGGAAAATTGTGTAAATCGGAAAGTGTATAAAGTAATCCAGAGTTTCTAATTTTAGTCTCAGAAGGCAGCAAATTTGAGGAAAACTACCTGATTTAATAACGCTTCCAACGCACTCGTCATTTTCTTATTTAGTGGTTGTGAGACCAAGATGTTGATGACAAAAAGAGAAAAAATGGTGGTTCAAGGATTGCTAATGTTTGAGAGTGACTTGCTACTCGTGCTACAAACTTCACCAGTAGATTCTTGACCCTAAAATGAACAAAAAAGTTCATATTGACCATGGTCCGATTCTCAACCATTTCAGAGTAATTTCGCTTTTTATCGATTTTGAAAGATATCACGTCCTGGCGTCGGAAAATCGTGATATCTTTTAATCTAAACATTTCTCTTAAAATCTATAAGCACCGTTGAAATCCCCGTTAATTTTTCAATAAGAAGATGAAGGTGGCAAAACGTTTGGGTCTTTCTTCCTTGACCTTCTAGCTGTTTGTAAACTTCTTAAGCATTACATACTAAATGGGCATTAAATTAAATTAAAAAATTTCAATGGAATTATGATTTTGATTCTCTCTAAAAATTAACGGGGATTTCAACGGTGCTTATAGATTTTAAGAGAAATGTTTAGATTAAAAGATATCACGATTTTCCGACGCCAGGACGTGATATCTTTCAAAATCGATAAAAAGCGAAATTACTCTGAAATGGTTGAGAATCGGACCATGGACAATATGAACTTTTTTGTTCATTTTAGGGTGAAGAATCTACTGGAGAAGTTTGTAGCACGAGTAGCAATTCACCCTGTATATAAATAGTATAAGTAACAATAATAAACCATTCAAACCTCCACATGGTATATTGTCGTCTTATAAATTTCTCTAAGCTCTAGTGATCCTTATCGATCCATAATCGGATTTTACAATACGCTATTAAGTGGCTTTTGCTGTACAGTGGCGTAACTTGACCCCTTTTTGCTCAAGATGCACTTAGTTTGTCAGGTGTTGTTAGACACCGTTACAGCTATTATAGGCGATTAGGGCACACAATTTTCCCAGAGCCCTCAGGTATAAGCTACAACGTTTAATAGCCGGCCAACTAATGGATTCCTGGGTTTAAGACAGTAGTAAACCCTTGTTTGCCACCGGTTTTACACCGTCTACATATTGAATAGACTTTTCCCCCTTTTAAATGAATTGATGGGGGGATTGGCTGGGGCTTAACTCGTTAATCCTGGGTGTCATTAGATTTTTTTCTCTTTTGCCGAGGATGAACTAATTATACGTCCGATATTTCTATTCCGAGGGTTGATGAAGGGTTTTATTGCTGATTTGTCAAGTCGGATTGTAGCAATCCAAAACACCTCACCACCCACTTCCAAGCAGAATTATTAACCTTCTGTATGGAATTCTTCAATTATTCCTCTTGACAAACAACCGGGGCGTAATCCCTTATAAAGAAAGCCTTCTCGCTTTTTTTGCGTGTTCCATATCGCTCTTCACCCTGGGGAAATTACGGCATCTTGCAAAGTGAAAACTCGGCGTTGGAATCTCGGTGTAAATCTATTTCTAATACAGTGGAAGCCCATTGTTGAAACTTTTGACGCATAAAAGCAACTTTGGGCTCACAATGTCGCCACTCTTTTGAAAGTTAAAGTCGCCCATCGCAATATAGTAACGCTCCCAGATGTAGTTTTTATGTATTATATTCAAGTTTCGAAATTAAACAAACACAATAATCATTGATTTAATAAAACAATTTAAAAAGAAATGGTTCAAAAATTGTTTTGATAGTTATGCTTAAAAACGTATCCAGTTGGCAGTGCTGCAATAATGGTGGTAGTTTTAATCGTATACGTTTTCAACCCGGGCAGTGTTGAAGTTGATGTGTGGGCACTAGAGGAGTCGTTGTAGATACGCTAATGATCACACTTGACGCCACCCTCGTGGATGTTGAAGAGGCGTTTGCATATCAATGCTAACAAGGGCAGCCATTCACTTATGCACCGTAGCTTATTCAGGACCATACGCCGGTATCGCGCTCAAGGAAAAATCGTCAAAACTCCTGGGCATTTGCAAAACAAATTCGTTCCCCAAAAAAGTCGGGTAAAAGGGCGTGAAAAGTATTTTATACATTCAAATGGAGAAGGTGAATGTTCGGGAGAGTGGGAGTTAGTGTAATGCGATCAGAAGTGACTCTAACGCGGTTTTGATACTAAAGCTCTCTTTCCTTTCCATCACCACTTTTACGTTTTACTGCCTCTCGATATGAGTCAACTCGAAAGATCAACATTTCAAAGCTCGAACCATAACGGAAAAGTAAACTGCCTCGTAAATGGCTTGGGGTGAGCCAAAACCAGGGCGTGAATTCAACTTTGGTACAAACCGAAATGAGCTTTTTGTATTATGTTCATTATGAAAAATGTGACTGATGTATTATTAAGTTGAAGGTGATAGTAGGCTAGCGTGCAATTTTAAGTTGTAGTATCCAAAAACGTTACAAACATCTTTTAAAACAATTTTATTTTGACTCCCGGTCTCGTGCAATCTACGGCCACGTGACGGGCTAGAATCTATGTTTAAGAAACAATTTAGTTTCCTGTTTTTTACACATTTAAGTGTGAATGGCAAAAAAAAAAGTAGAAATTATTGGATAAATTAAAATGTTCGTTTTGAAAAATTTTGTTTTTTAAATTATAACATTTCGATTATGTACTAAAGTGACGATATTGGTGCGATCGTTAACTGGAAATTAGAAGTTTTTATGAATTTGACAGCTGATATAGTTTTCAATTTCATTACACAAAATTATTTAAATACCTGAAATAAAAAGAAGTTTTCAAAGTTGCAAGTACAAAAAGACGAATATGGAACCGTACATAATACAGATCTTTCACTTCCAAATTAGGTTGGATTTGCCCATTATTTTATAATAAAATAATCATGTGACTTATTGTTTTTTTCCAGAAACAATTGAAAGCTGAGCGTTATCGACGTCGGAGTCGGCAGGTTCTTACGATTTTTGAATAATTTTGAGGAGTGAATCTGGGTAGCGATGGGTGATAAAAATGTTGATGAGTTGGCCACCGCCATCCTGAAAAGGAAGGAGCGTCCCAATCGTTTGATCGTTGAAGAGGCGGTCAGCGATGACAATTCCGTCATCTGCTTGTCCCAAGCTAAAATGGACGAGCTTCAACTCTTCAGGGGAGACACAGTCTTGCTGAAAGGTAAGAGAAGGAAAGAGACAGTTTGCATCGTGCTGTCCGACGAAACGTGCCCGGATGAAAAAATTCGGATGAACCGCGTTGTCAGGAATAATTTGCGCGTTAGGCTCTGTGACGTCGTCTCCATTCAGTCCTGCCCGGACGTGAAGTATGGAAAGAGGATTCACGTCCTGCCAATCGACGACACTGTCGAAGGGCTTACAGGAAACATCTTTGAAGTATATTTGAAACCGTACTTGCTGGAAGCTTACCGCCCTGTACATAAAAATGATACGTTTATTGTAAGAGGAGGAATGCGTGCTGTTGAATTTAAGGTTATCGAGACCGACCCTCCACCATATTGTATCGTCGCTCCCGACACTGTTATCCACTGCGACGGTGATCCGATTAAACGTGAAGAAGAGGAGGAAGCCTTGAACGCCGTCGGATACGACGACATTGGTGGTTGTAGGAAACAGTTGGCTCAGATAAAAGAAATGGTTGAATTGCCTTTGAGACATCCGAGTTTGTTTAAAGCTATTGGCGTTAAGCCACCGAGGGGTATCTTGCTGTATGGCCCTCCTGGGACAGGTAAAACGTTGATCGCTAGAGCCGTTGCCAATGAGACAGGCGCTTTCTTCTTTCTAATAAACGGGCCCGAGATCATGAGCAAGCTTGCTGGTGAATCCGAAAGCAATCTCAGGAAGGCATTCGAGGAAGCTGAAAAGAACGCCCCTGCTATCGTTTTTATCGACGAGCTCGATGCTATTGCTCCCAAAAGAGACAAAACGCAGGGTGAAGTGGAGAGGAGAATCGTTTCACAGTTGCTCACCCTTATGGACGGTCTCAAGCAGAATTCGCACATCATCGTCATGGCCGCGACCAACAGGCCCAACTCCATCGACGGAGCTTTGAGGAGATTCGGCCGTTTCGACAGGGAAATCGACATTGGAATTCCGGACGCTACCGGGCGTCTGGAAGTGCTGAGAATCCACTCGAAAAACATGAAGCTGTCCGAAGACGTCGACTTGGAGCAAATCGCAGCAGAGACCCACGGTCACGTTGGGGCCGATCTCGCCTCACTTTGCTCAGAGGCTGCCCTTCAACAGATCCGTGAGAAAATGGACCTTATCGATTTGGAAGACGACACAATTGATGCCGCCGTTCTTAATTCACTGGCGATTACAATGGACAACTTCAGGTATAGTTATTATACATTTATTTATTTTCTGACATTTACAAATAATTCTATTTTACCTTTTTTGTATTTATGATGTTCGTTCATCGACGTGAGATAATCTAGTAGGGTTCCAATCTTCGTAGACGTCATGAGACCGGTGAAAAAAAAAAGACAAATGCTGGGTTCAATTAAAATAATTCTTAATTGTATATTACTGTGTATTTATTTGAATTTGTAATAAAATAAGCTCTGATGATGGCACTATAAGGTGCCGAAACCTCGGTGAACCCAGCATTTAGTCTTCTTTTTTCACCTGTCTAATAACCTCTACGAAGATAGGGACCCTACATATTTTTTGTATTATTCAAATAATAATTATTATTGGAAGAACAATAATTATTCACTTACTATTACATTGCGGCCATTGTGCATCGTGACATGATTTTTGGTGCACCAGCTCTGGTAACATATTTTAATTTGTAAATCTTAATAAAATTTTCTTGCAACGAATAAAGATCACCTCAGTAAGAAAGAAAATTCAGTCTTTAGAAATAAATTTTTTTCAGATATGCAATGAGCAAGAGCAGTCCATCTGCATTGAGAGAGACCGTAGTGGAAGTACCATCAGTGACATGGGAGGATATCGGAGGTCTGGATGGAGTCAAAAGGGAACTCCAGGAACTTGTCCAGTATCCCGTGGAGCATCCAGAAAAGTTCCTCAAATTCGGTATGCAGCCTTCTCGTGGTGTTCTATTCTACGGTCCTCCAGGTTGTGGTAAAACCCTACTCGCTAAAGCCATCGCAAACGAGTGCCAGGCCAATTTCATTTCTGTAAAGGGTCCAGAGTTGCTTACAATGTGGTTCGGAGAGTCTGAAGCCAATGTCAGAGACATTTTCGACAAGGTAAGACCGTGTAAATTTTCATTAGAATGAAATGTTTTAAGGCTATTTCTGTTAGGCCCGTGCTGCAGCCCCCTGCGTACTCTTTTTCGATGAGTTAGATTCCATTGCCAAGAGCAGGGGAGGAACCGTCGGCGATGCCGGTGGAGCCGCTGATAGAGTAATCAATCAAATTCTTACAGAAATGGACGGTAATTATACCATTAATTGTTTATATGGACAAACTGAACAAGGAAATTGTTTAATTGGCAGGAATGGACGCGAAGAAAAATGTGTTTATCATTGGAGCTACGAATAGGCCAGACATTATCGACCCGGCTATTCTCCGTCCTGGTCGTCTCGACCAACTGATCTACATCCCGCTTCCAGACGAGAAGTCGCGTGAAATGATTTTCACTGCTAAATTGAGGAAGTCTCCAATCGCTCCAGATGTTGATTTGAAGTAATTGTTTATATATTTTTACTAATATTAGTCGTAAGAAGGAATTTTCTAATTGATCAACTATGACATGATGACGTTGAAATTGTTTGGACAAGTTTCACTAGTTTTAACTCATGTGTTCATGAAGTAGATGACGCGTACTCAACATAGCTAACATCATTTCCTCATTTATTATAAATATATGTACTTTAATCCTTAGCATAGGCTTCGTTGAAGAATAGTCTAACCCCTTCGGTTTGCAGGTACATCGCCAAAGTGACACACGGTTATTCAGGTGCCGATCTGACCGAAATCTGCCAAAGAGCGTGCAAACTGGCAATCAGGGAGTCTATCGAGGCCGAGTTAAGAAAAAACGTGCAAGCGGCTGACGTACCACCTGGCAGGGAGGCGATGGAAGAGGAAGACCCTGTTCCGTGCATCACTAGAAGCCACTTTGAGGAATCGATGCGATTCGCCCGGAGGTCCGTCACCGACAATGACATCCGTAAATACGAAATGTTCGCCCAGACTTTGCAGCAGTCACGAGGATTCGGAAACAATTTCCGTTTCCCAACAGCCACTTCGGGCACTTCTGCCACCGCCCCATCCGGCACATCGGGTGCTGGCCCCGAGTTCCAGGACGACGGCGATGACGATCTTTACAATTAAATGAAACAAAATCAACAGACATTCTGTATTAATATAAATACTTTTTATATCATAAATAATAAACTTTTTTTAATCGAGGGTTAAAACAATGTTCAAGACTGCGTGTTACCTTTTCTATGTAAAATCTCAACTTTCGTAGCTTTTAAGAAAGTATTAAGCTGTTCATGTATCTTAAGTAATTTAACATTGTGATACAAATTAGCAGTTAAGAGCATTTTTATTTTAATAGTTTCCCTTTCCTCCTTTAGATTTGGCCAGAAATATTTTTATTCCACTCATCAAGAATCCTTGTAAAAAGCAAAAAGTATAAAAAAAATAATAAAGTTAAAGTAATTAAAAACATCATCTCGTTTATCCTTTTTACAAATCCAGGAGGAAATTTCAGCGTGCATCTTAAAACTATACTTTCGGTACTACATTACATTGAATAATTTCGTACCATGAAAAATTTATTAGGCAATGCAATTGAATTTGCAATTTGCATTTAATACAAGTAACCGAAACATCTTGTCATGGCTGTAGCTTCAGGCCGACGGCAAAAAAAACCGTTTGTGCTTTAGGAAACGTCCTTGGGCCCCGAGCAAATGTTTATCAATGTAAGTATTGGTTGATCTTTTAAACTGGAAAGCCACACACAAACAGATGTACAATGAGAATTGTTTTATTAATATTTACTTTTTATTTTGTTTTATTGTAAAACGCATTTTCGTACTAAAGCAAAGAGCGCAAAAGAAGAAGAAGTATCATGGCATATCCGATCATCATTCTATTTCTCAGAACGTCTTTCTCTTCAAAATGTCTGAATTAAGGTATCATTAGGTAAGACAGGGTTTACAGATATACAGTAGAACTGGCTCATAAGCGGACACCACTCGGGGATTTGTCAGCTTATTAGGAGGGTCCACATATAAAAAAAAAATGAAATGTTTGGATTTCCACTTGTAGACACACTGAAAATGGCGAAATATCAAAACGCTTGTCAGACCTATCCAACGATCAAATTACGGAAAAAATAAGTACAAGTAAAAAATGATTAAAAAATGTACACGGATCCATGCAAAGACGTTAGTTTTCTTTTTCTCACGGACTTTTATGACTTAGACAATTTCTCTGACAAAGAATCGCGAACTGATCTTCGTATCGGGTTTTCACAATCAACATCCAATCACTTAATTACAGAACTGAGTATTGGCCAGGAATCGCCAAGGCGTTCGTGATAAGCGTGGCTTATTAAGACAGTGCGCTTGGGGAAGTTCGATTGCATTTTAGATAGAATTTTATTGGGCTGGTGCAAAAATAAAGCAGGTTTTGAAAAGGCAGTCAAAACTATTTGTATTATTTATAAAATAAAGAACATTAAGAAAATTATTTTCTATTCTTTCTAATCTATACATCTTTGCCAACGTGTATTACTCTTTTTTTACTGTGACATAAACATTTTTATTTCGACTCACAATAAAATCTTGGAATGCGTTTTTGGGTTCATCGCGTTCGCTAAATATTTTACCATCAAGAAGTGAACAAAATGCCTAAAAAAGTAACTAACTCTGTAGGCGAGAAGTAGGGTGAATATGGAGGGTGCAGCAAGGTTTCATATAATAAGTCCTTAAGTTTCTGCTGACATGTTGCGTTATCGCGAAGAAGAATCGGCCCTTACGGTTTACCAATACTAGAGTTTCTCGTGCATTTTGTCAATTTCTTGGCTTATTTCTCTGCTGTGTGAACAACCCCAGCAGTTCACCACCAAACAGTCACCATAATTTATTGGGAGCAGATTTGGTTTCGGGAAGTGTTTTAGCGCTTCATACTTCTCCAACCACTGTTCTGTACGCCTCCTGTTATCATACGGAATCCATTCTAATGGCACATGATGATTCGATCCAGAAGTGGATTATTTTAATGGCGCAACAGAAGAGACATCCAAATTTCGAAGCTTCCTGCGTACCCATCATACCCACTTGTCGAGCTTCTTTAATTTACCAATTTGTCCAGAACGGAAGGTCTACCGCGACTTTACCTCTCTTCAAGATCGAAATCCCAGAAACCATCGGTGCACCGTGTATAAGACTATATGGTCTTATATATGGTACATGTGATGCAACAGCAACTGATCATGTTGCGAGCAACACGAATAAACGTTTTGTGGTTTATTCTGGGGTGATCAGGAAATTTCTGGGAATACAACTCGACGCTCGACGCGCAATAATCACACCACTATCAGTAAAGCAGTCTTACATATCAACTCGCTATTGATCGGGAAAATGTGCTTTTCGGTTCATTTTGAATCGATTACTGAATGTAACGAATAGGTACTATTGTAAAATTTATTCAGCTCCAGAAATTATACACTATTCGTATGGCTAGTTGCGAAATAGCTACAGATATAGTTGGGAATCGGGAAAGTCGGGACAAAATTCACCAATTATTTTCAAGGCTCTTAGTACGCCTTAGAGAGACCAATAATGCTGAATTATTCGAGAATTTAAGTCAGGAATGGTTTCTTCAGATAAAATCCTAAATAAAGCGCGATGTGTATGACATTTGAAAGGACTTTCCATCCCCGATTGAAATAGTAACAAGTAGGCGATTCCATGATGATTTGCTTCGCCCGCCGTAAAACTAGGGGCTTTTAGGTGATCATTGGGACGTAAAACGTGCCGTCATAGGCGCGATTAGATCGAATTGGGCTATCAGAATCACAAGCTTTCAGCGAATTCACTTGATCCTAAACGCAAAATGTTTTCTTGAACAAGTATGGGTACTCGTTTCCCAAGGCCTTGCGAATGAAATCACAGGTTTATGCGACTTAAAGATAAATTAAGGTGTTTTGAATGTTTAGCTTGTTCTAAATAAATTAAAATTGTTCAGGTATACACCTCAATGTATTGATTGCAATTACAGGATAAATGCTCTTCCACATACATATGCACTTACTTCTCCGTAATTCATAGGTAACATTCTCGGAAATGGAAGTCTCTCTTCACTCCGGTTATAACCATAACTCATAATTTATAACGTTGCTTAATATGTACTAATACTTTAAAGCAAATTATTCTAACCTTCACTTCACCTGTATAGGTATATTGTATGGCCATATAGAGGCCTATAATTTTCCTCACATTTTACCCGCTGAGAGAAAGAGGCTCTTCCTTCGCCTTCCTTTTTGAGAGATCACGATCTTAGCTTGCCACATACGTTTGTACAATGCCTCAGTTTATCTTATCATCCAACTTTAGCTCACTCTCCTGTGCTGTTTTTGGTATGGTTTTTGTGTTACTTTGCTGTGTTTTCCTTGAGCCATTAGATAATAGGCAATCCTGGACGAAATTAGCATACGCATTTAGTCCCTTTATAACTGTCCTACAGTCCGAAAGTATTTATTCCGTGTACCCTTCATTTTCCTCTTAATTAACTCCTGTGCCTTGGACCTCGACTTGGGAGATAGATGGAACCAGTCCGGGTTTTGGTAGGGTGTAATACGGCCCTTTTACCCCTATCTGTACTCACTCCCTCGCTATTTCATCTTTGATCCATCAAAAGTAGGTGTGGGCGACGTGGGGTTTTAAATAAGCGTGGACTGTATACTAACATAAATTAACATTTTATTTTCACACAATTTACAACAATACCGACATGGTACAATGTAAGCACGAGCTCAGAACAAAACAAAACAATAAGAACTTGAGATGGTACTTCGTCTAATTATCTACTGGCGCGGGAAGCTGGAGGGGCCCTTTTTAAATGACGAGTTAGTTACAATGCACACAGAACCTCAAACTCGGGTTTTTTTGTTTTTTTCTTCCAGAGTTAACCGTTGAAGGACCACTAGGAAAGTTGAGGTTTCGTCTCATTTTCTCAGATGTTATAACCAACTCATTTATTTTAATTTTCTCTAGAATGTTGTGTTGCCTTCTCTTTAGAACTTGATTTATTTACTTGTACCTCAGATATCACTTGACACATTGGAAAGTCATCTTTTTGTACATGTATTCCATCGCTGTAGTAGGACATCGTCCCTGTCATGTTAGGTCTGTAGACTACAGTTAGTTTTTTGTCTCATTATCTGACCGCTGTGGTGTATAACCAATTCGCAATCCGTGGGTTTATTCCCCTTTAAATAAAATTTAAAAATGCTGAAATAAGAAATGGTTTGTTAATTAGAATAGACTTTTTAAATCCTAGAAACAGAGTAGTAGTAGATAGGTTTTGTTATATTAACGATATGAATAGCACAGAAACTCACTCAAGTACAAGTTTCATTAGGGGACTCTGCGTAGAGACTTTGGCGGAGTGTACCGCAACTTTGCTGACTTGTCATTATCATTTCCTTATCCACGCTCAGACAAGTAAAGTCCTTACGGTAAAGTAATTCCTGTTAAACTAGAGGGTTTACTTATGAACTACCCCTTTCATCGACAAGGAGGTCAGATCGTTTGTAGTTGACCAACAGATTTGTCAAAAATTCTCTTGATAAGCAGTTAAAAAATCAATTTTAAAAAAACAATAGACCAGGTCTGCCAAGGTAGATCAAAAGAGAGTCGATACTTAATATATGAATGTGGTTCGTTTATGGAAACCACAGGTTTGGAACAATTTTTCTAATGAGGTTATTTCTTTCAATATTTGAGGGGATCAGTTTTTTACTGAAGAAACATGTGCAATGAACTTGAGAATGGGTGGTAATCTACGACTGGTGAAGACCCGTCATCAACTTTGTGATACGTTACTTAAAAGGCATGCAGAATAAAACGACTAACCTATGCAGCACTATAAAATAGTTGAAAATAATAGTTCAAACCACAAACTGTGAAGTCATTCAATCATATCCATCTTTGGTTTAATATACAATGCCATACTGACAATTTTACCCCAACTTACGTAAACTTAAACTTGACCCAAATGCAGGACTGCCATAAAAGCAGACAAAAAAACAAATAAAAGCAGAAATCCACTACTAATACATAAAGAAAATAGATTGATCAAAGAAATCCTGGGCTTACACCTAACCATCGGCAATGTACTCCCCCAGCAAGAGTATCCGACTTCCAAAAAACCACCCCTGACAAAAAAAACACTAATCTTTCAAAACACAGGCCCGTCAATGACCTATACATTTATATATCTCACACAATTAAAATTCAAGACTACCGAAACAAATCTACTTCAAAATGAACTAATCCATAACAATAAAACCAAACACCGAACTCAA